CACATAGTCAGGCCATACCCCGCTTACCTCAGAAATTTTTACAACACCATATTCCAACAACCTCTCTGTATGGAGACTAAATTCAGCCCTACTTACAAACCAACGTTATAAATCTCAAATAGACAAGGGATTACTTTCCTACTTCCAAATCAATGACAATACAGAGGTCGATGATTTTGTTCTGTGGAATGCACACAAGGCATACATGAGAGGAATACTCATCAAACTAGGGGCTTATGAAAAAAAAAGGAAAGCTAATAAAATTACAGATATATTATCGCAAATTAAACTCCTGGAATCACAACACAAACAAAACCCAGACCAAACGATCTTATCTCAACTACGCTCCTTACGAGAGAAACTGAGGCTTCAACTTATGGAGCAATATGACTTTATGATAAAAAAACTGAAATTTATATCATACATGCAGGCAAACAGAGCAGGTCAACATTTAGCAAAATAATTTAAGTGATATCACTCCAATTCAAAAATTGCATATCTAAATGACCCATCTAAGGGAAAACTTATCAGTCCTCTAGACATAGCCAATGCATTTAGTAGATATTATGTAACATTATATAACATAAAAAAACTCCCAAAAATGAATTCCCCCTACTAATACTCAAATCAATACATTTCTGGAATCACTACAACTTCCTACAGAACAGCTAGACTCACTATCACAACCCTTCACCACCTCTGAAATTAATAAAGTAATTCATAATCTCCCTTCTCATAAATCACCAGGACCAGATGGTTACACCAACGAGTATTATAAAACATTTACTACAACTCATCCAATATCTATATAAATTTGTTAATAAATTTACAACATCTGAAGCTATTCCGAAAGAAACATTAGAAGCTTTTATTATTACATTGCCAAAACCAGGTAAACTTCCCACATCACCAGCCAACTTCAGACCTATATAGCTCTTGAATACTGACACAAAGATCTATGCCAAACTACTAACCAACCGACTTCAATCTTTAATGCCAAAACTAATTAATCCAGATCAGGTTGGATTTATCAATGGACGTCAAACACCAGATGGTACACGCAGATTCATAAATTTAGCTCAATGGGCAAACCACACATAAACAGCCTCTCTGCTCATCTCATTAGACACAGAGAAGGCATTCGACAGGATCTACTGGCCATACTTACAACTGGTGCTGGAAAAAATATGGAATATCAGGAACTTTTAGGAAAGCGATTATGGCTCTATATACATGCCCCAGTGCTAGAGTATGGTCATATGGTATAATCTCTGATCCATTTCAGATATTGAGAACAAGGCAGGGGTGTCCCTTATCACCCTTAATCTTTGCCTTGTGCATAGAACCATTAGGAGAAGCAACCCATATACAACCTGACATTGGAGGTATCAAAATAGGACATGTAACACACAAAATAGGATTATAAACTGACGACATCATAATCGCTATGACTGACCCCATCATCTCGAAAACAGCATTACAAAAGGTTATTTTGCAATTCAGCTTACTATCCCTTTACAAAGTAAATGAAGCCAAATCTTCCATGTTACCTATAGCGATCTCGCCTACAATACATAAGCGAATATCATCAATCTCTCCCTTCTCATGGGCAACATCCTCACCAATTGCATAAATAGGAATAAAATTAACATCTCCTCACGTGGACACATTTAAGATCAACTTTTCAAATCTGTTCATTAAAATAACAGAACTATGTAAAGAGTTTTCCTACACCAGTATCTCCTGGGCTTGGTGCATTGCTATTGTAAAGATGTTTATCTTACCACACATTTTAGATTTCTTTCGGGCTATCCCAATACCACTGCTATCCTCATCCATACAAAAACTACAATCACTACTAAATGCTTACATCTGGGAACACAAGAAAACACGTGTCAACAAACTAGCACTATACACTTCTCGATCAGACTTAGGTATGGGAGCCCCTAATCTACAATTATACTATAAAGCAATAGTGTTGGATCAGGCGCAGCATTGGTGGTCACCTCAAATAGATAAGCCATGGGTACAAATAGAACAATCCCTTCTCGCTAGTAGCACTCAAGCCACACTGGGAGCTCTTACCCTCACCCATAGAGTTCCAAGATACTGCTTAGATACAATCAATATGACTCTCCACACCTGGGTGTCTATCCTATGAACCTCAATGAAAAATCACCCTACAATTAATGGTTTTATTCCTTTACTTTCCATCTCAACGATTACACCTGATCTCGAGCTTAAATCCTGGAAAAAAACAGGGCTCCAAAACAATGCTCTATACAAATGGTACCCTACAAACATTTCATCAACTTTCCGAAACATACAAAATTACATATCAGGATTTTTTCAAATATCTAAGAATACGTCATACATTACACAACCTGGAATACCACGAAGATTCTCTTCTTCAATCTCTGATCAACTTTTATGAAAGAACAGACTCTCATAAACAAGGTATTTCATTCATGTATACTATCCTTCTTCAACGTCGTCACCTAGGAAAATTCCCAACGATGCAAAAATGGGAACCAGACATTGGGAAACAATTCCCGATTCAACAATGGCAAACAGCAGGGAACTGGACCAGGAAAGCTACCAGATGCATTAACCACTGGGAATCAGCCCAAAAGATATTACACAGATGGTACAAAACACCACAACATTTGGCAGTACAATCATCCAACCACTACTCTTCATTATGTTGGAGGAACTGTAATCAACAAGGATTCCTGTACTATATATGGTGGGAATGTCCACAAATTATCCAATTCTGGACAGATATCTTCACATTTTATAACAACAATTACAGATTCATCTCCAACTCCTGACCCAGCCCTGGCACTTTTGGGCATAGGAATAGACTCCTGGCCGTCACAATGCAGAACTGTACTAATACATATTCTGATCGCAGCACGATTGAGTATTGCCAGGCTTTGGAAACAGCATACGACACCATCCATTCATACAGTAAAACCTTTGCTCAGATACACAATTCCGGAAAAATTGGAGCTTATGGCTCAAAGATCATCGATATACTGTTATATAGAAAGCCTCAAGATGTACCACTCAAGCACCACCAGTGACACAGCTATTGCGTTTCTCTATTATTATCTTATTATCTTAACAAAGGAAATATGTAATAATTTCAAATCTCACTCTATATTCTACTTTTTTTTTACTCTTCAAACCTCCACTTACCGCAACCTTCCTTTCTTCTCTAAATTAATGATCTACTGAATGCTTCAAAGAAACAATGCATACTCATTAAAGAACTGTATTGATGTTTGTAAACTGATGTTTGTAAGATGTTGAATATGCTTATACTTAATTATCTCTATGTTTTACAAATCTGTAATACAATATTGCGACAATACTGTTTATTGTTGTAAACACTTAAATGATCAATAAAAAAACAATAGTTACAAAAAAAAAAAATTAAGTGCAGTATAACACTTTTGGTAGTAAAATAGTACATTTTGTTTAGAGATGTACATATCAGACCAAAAAGATGGACATCTGAGGCTGCACAAGGGGTAGAGGGATTTGGTCTCAAATGAGGGACAGTTGGAAGCTATGCTGTTGCACTCCAGCAATGAATGATGCATTATGAATATTGCTATGCATTTCAAAGGATTGTTTTCACTTTTTTTTCATAATGTTTTTATTGAATATATAAAAATGTAAAGGCAAAGTAACAGTATCAGGACATGAAAAAAATAAAATGTAGTCATCGAATCATGTGGAATGATAGGAATAACAAAATCCTCATTGACAAGGTAAGCCAACGAAATATATGTTTATAGGTAAGAGTTTAAAGTGTATGGAAAAATAAGATAAGCGGCGAGGCTATTAAGCTGATCACCTAGTAAACAAAATCAGAGAGCATATAAGTGGAGCACTACCCCCTTAGGAGTTCCAAAAGCTTTTGGGTCCCCCCTATAGCCCTGCACAGCCAGTGTCAGGAATGGACTTGCCAGTAATGGTGGGACCCACCTGCCTTGTGGGCTGCAGTACCAGGGCTGGCCAGCGGGTGCTCCCGGCAATCAGAGACTCAACCCTGCAGCCAGCCAGCCAAACACCTGAAGTTGATCATGCAGGTGTATTTAAGGGATGGCCAGACCTGCAGTCTCGGCCTTGGTGTGTGTTTTTCCTGGGCCCTGTATCTTGTTCCTGCATCCCTGTTCCTGTTCCTGTTTCCTGTTCCTGTCTGACTGATTCGTTGCTGACCCTGCCTGATCCGGACCTCTGCTGATTTCTCCTGTTTCATCCCTGGCTTGTGACCCCGACCATTCTCTGCCTGACCCCCTGTACCTACCTGCCCGATTGTTATTGACCCGGCCTGCCTGACGACGCTTGCATTGTATGTACTGTTATCTGTGGGTGGTTTGGTTCGTTTGCAACTGTGTTATGTTTTAGTATTGCACTGCGTTTATGTTTGTATTGTTAGTCTTTAATAAATTATTTGTTTATAACTTATCTGAAGCCTGCGCTTCCCTGCGTCAGTCACATACCTCTGGTCACACCCCCGGAGCCCTGACATTACACCAAGGCCATTCCTGACCAGAAGTGCCACACAGGGAAGCCATCTTGGCTTGTTGTTTGTGGAGGATGCATCCTAAGGAGGTTGAGTACTTGTCTTTGCTAGTCCTGGAAGACAGACTATACAGCTATCAGATTCTGAAGAAGTATGCCAGGGATCAGCTGCTTGAGTGCATGCAGGTTGCTCATTCACTAGTGGATCGGGGCATGGAGTTTTCTGAGGTACAACCATTGATCCAGGTTTGTGCTGAGTTGGCTCTGTCCTGTACCCCTGAAAGCAGGGATGACTTTTTTTTCCACCATTTAGTGCAGATCAAGTGGAATCACTGGTATGGTTGTTGGAGGAGGATCCAGATTGCTTCCATGAGCATTATGCAGCTTGTCCATCATCACATGTGCTTATGGATTGCATAAAATGCAGTGCAGTCTTTGGTCAGACAGGCTATGTGTAAGTTGAGCTTCATTCAACCTGTATTACAGACATGGTCAGATTTGTTACACCCAGCCTCAGTCAGCTTGCAAAAACCCAGTCCTGCTTCTAACCTATTTCGTCAAAGCTCTATTCCTGCATTCCCAACAGCACCTCCAGTTACAGCCCAGTATACCCTGCTATCTACCGCATGTCAGTACCCTGTTCCCACTCGCTGCACCTATCCTGCCTTTAACCCTGTAAAGAAGCCCTCTGTAGCAACTGTTCCCTCCCCTGTTCCATCCTCCAGCTCTTCTCTGTCTCCAGCTGCTCCATCCATTTGCAAACCTGCGCTTACTTACAGTACTCCGGTAACTAAAACCAGGAAAAGGCAAAAGTTCTTTCCAACCAATACCATCCTGCCAGTATCCAAACCGGTCAGCCTCCCATCTGAGAACCTACCTTCCATGGTGCAGCCTGGTGCCTCGGCGCCCACAATTCAGCCTGATGCCTCCATTCAGCCTGATGCCTCCATTCAGCCTGATGCCTCTACCCAGCCTGATGCCTCCATTCAGCCTGATGTCTCTACCCAGCATGATGAACTGATCCAGCCTGATGATCCTATTATGCCAGATGACTCGATGCCCGCTGTTCCGCCAGTTGACTCGGTGCCCGCAGTCTTGCCAGACGACTCGGTGCCCGCAGTCTGCCAGACGACTCGATGCCGCTGTTCCGCCAGTTGACTCGGTGCCCGCAGTCTTGCCAGACGACTCGGTGCCCGCAGTCTTGCCAGACGACTCGATGCCCGCTGTTCCGCCAGTTGACTCGATGCCCGCTGTTCCACCAGTTGACTCGATGCCCGCTGTTCCGCCAGTTGACTCGGTGCCCGCAGTCTTGCCAGACGACTCAGTGCCCGCAGCCTTGCCAGACGACTTGGTGCCTGCTGTTCCACCAGTTGACTCGATGCCCGCTGTTTTCCGCCAGTTGATTCGGTGCCCGCAGTCTTGCCAGACGACTCGGTGCCCGCTGTTCCGCCAGTTGACTCGATGCCCGCTGTTCCGCCAGTTGACTCGGTGCCCGCAGTCTTGCCAGACGACTCGGTGCCCGCAGTCTTGCCAGACGACTCGGTGCCGCAGTCTTGCCAGGCGACTCGGTGCCCGCAGTTCCGCCAGTTGACTCAATGCCCGCTGTTCTGCCAGTTGACTCGATGCCCGTGTTCCGCCAGTTGACTCAGTGCCCGCAGTCTTGCCAGACGACTCGGTGCCCACAGTCTTGCCAGACGACTCGGTGCCCGCTGTCGAGCCAGACGATCAGGTACCTGATGACCCGGTGCCCACTGTCATGCCTGGTGACCCGATGCCCGCTGTCGTGCCAGACGATCCAATGTCTGACCCAGTGCCCGCGGTCATGCCTGGTGACTCGGAGCCCACTGTCATACCTGGTGACCCGATGCCCGCTGTCGAGCCAGACAATCCAATGCCTGATGACCCAGTGCCCGCTGTCATGCCTGGTGACCCAATGCCTGCTGTCGAGCCAGACAATCCGGTACCTGATGACCCGGTGCCCGCTGTCGTGCCAATTGACTCAGAGCCCACTGTCGTGCCTGGTGACTTGGTGCCCGCTGTCATGCCTGGTGACCCGATGCCCGCTGTCGAGCCAGATGATCCAATGCCTGATGACCCAGTGCCCGCGGTCATGCCTGGTGACCCGATGCCCGCTGTCGAGCCAGACGATCCAGCGATAGATGACTCGGTGCTTTCTGTCGAGACAGACGATCTGGTACCTGATGACCTGATGCCTGGTGACCCGATGCCCGCTGTCCAGCCAAACTATCCAATGTCTGACCCAGTGCCCGCGGGTCATGCCAGTTGACTCGGAACCCACTGTCGTGCCTGGTGACTCGGTGCCCACTGCCTTGCCAGATGACGCGGTGCCCACTGGCGAGCCAAATGACCTGATGCCTGGTGACCCGATGCCCGTTGTCGTGCCTGATGACCCCGGTGCCCGCCGCTCCGCCTGGGGGCCCGGTGTCTGCCGCCCTCCTGGGGGCCCCGATGCCTGTCGCCCCTCCTGGGGGCCCGGTGCCCGCCGCTCCGCCTGGGGGCCCGGTGCCCGTCGCCCTGCCTGGGGGCCCAATGCCTGTCGCCCCCCGCCTGGGGGCCCGATGCCTGTCGCCCCGCCTGGGGGCCCGGCGCCCGCTGCTCCGCCTGGTGGCCCGGTGCCTGATGCTCCCCCTGGTGATCCGGTGTCCAGCTCAATGTGCCTCTGCCCGGAGTCCTGCCCGGAGTCCAGCTCGATGTGCCTCTGCCCGGAGTCCTGCCTGATGTGCCGCTGTCCGGAGTCCTGCCCGATGTGCCGCTGTCCGGAGTCCTGCCCGATGTGCCGCTGCCCGGAGTCCTGCCCGATGTGCCGCTGCCCGGAGTCCTACCCGATGTGCCGCTGCCCGGAGTCCTGCCCGATGTACCAGCCTTTGATATCCCGCCAGTTACCAGACCCAGGCGGTGGAACATTTTGCCCAGCTAGGACTGTTTGGAGCGTCCTGAGGCCACTCCTTGAGGGGGGGGTACTGTCAGGAATGGACTTGCCAGTAATGGTGGGCCCCACCTGCCTTGTGGGCTGCAGTACCAGGGCTGGCCAGTGGGTGCTCCCGGCAATCAGAGACTCAACCCTGCAGCCAGCCAAACACCTGAAGTTGATCATGCAGGTGTATTTAAGGGATGGCCAGACCTGCAGTCTCGGCCTTGGTGTGTGTTTTTTCCTGGGCCCTGTATCTTGTTCCTGCATCCCTGTTCCTGTTCCTGTTTCCTGTTCCTGTCTGACTGATTCGTTGCTGACCCTGCCTGATCCGGACCTCTGCTGATTTCTCCTGTTTCATCCCTGGCTTGTGACCCCGACCATTCTCTGCCTGACCCCCTGTACCTACCTGCCCGATTGTTATTGACCCGGCCTGCCTGACGACGCTTGCATTGTATGTACTGTTATCTGTGGGTGGTTTGGTTTGGTTCGTTTGCACTGTGTTATGTTTTAGTATTGCACTGCGTTTATGTTTGTATTGTTAGTCTTTAATAAATTGTATTGTTTATAACTTATCTGAAGCCTGCGCTTCCCTGCGTCAGTCACATACCTCTGGTCACACCCCGGAGCCCTGACAGCCAGGCTACATGCATCTTCATGCAGGCTTGCATCCAGGAGCCACAGATCAGTGCTTGAGCATTTGTTTTTGTGATTTTATTAGGGGGATTTGAACTGGGATAGGGTTAGGGGTGTACAGGATGCCCATGGAAACTGACAAACAGAGGACAACTTCCTGGAACTATTTAAAAGCCTCCACTGCAACAGAATCTCTGTTGGAGAGCTAGCCAGCATCTCCCACTGTACCACCCAAGACCCTAGATGAACTCCTCTTCCTTCACCCAGCAATCTGAAGAAGGTTTCCCTGAGCAGGGGTTCCAGTGTCTGTCGCTTTAAGAAATGGACAGTCCAGGTAGGTGGCGAATCTGGTTTCCCACCAGAGTGCTCCTTCCCTATCTACCAGGGGGTGCAGGGGTCCTCACTCAGATCCTCTCCTGTACCACTGATGGGTTGGTGGCTGCTACCAGGCCTTTCAGCTGGGCCACTCCTTCCCTGCTGTACAGGTGGTCCTTACTCTGGTGGCCAGTAAAGTTCTGAGCTTTCCTCGTTTCCAGCACCACTGCCCGTAGGTGAGCCCCTCTCTCCATCTGGGCCCCCTCCCAGGCTCCTGCCTTCAGCCTCACATCTTCCTCTCTGTCTTCCACCCAAACTCTACCCAGGTGAGCAGGCTCAAACACTTTTATGGGTTGTCTTGGCCCCTTGCCAAGCTCCTGTTGGGGATTGGCCAGACTCCCTCAAAAATGCTGATCAGCCACTCCTCAGATCCATCCACTTCTTCTAGACCTTTCTCCAAAGTTCTATAATGGGGAAATTCCAGAAGGCTGGTCAGCAGAGCCTTTCAGCTCTGACCAAAGTTTGACGGCTTCTAGCTATCACACCCAGGCTGCTACTCAGTCTTCCTAAATAACAATCAGACTCTTAGCTTCCCCTAGCTGACTAGGAGGGTGTTACATAAGAATTTAAGACACAAAAACATAACTTAAAACTTGTGTGCAGTGAATAAGCAAAAGTGCAACGCCTCAGCAGCATAGCAAGTATAAGCCCAGAGAACCAGAAATAGATGTAGAGTATGGAGAGAAGGAAATATATTTGATTTGGGATGGGAAGGAGATGGAACCAGAGGAGAAAAGAAGAGAGAAAAGAAAACAAGAGGGAGCAAGTAAAAAAAAAAAAAGGGGTGGGGGAGGTAAGGAAAGGCATAAGCATATCTCGATAAAAAGGAGTGCTGGGGAGAAGGGAAAGGTATAAAAGTACTGTACATACACACATAGGCTTCAATTGAGAAAAGAAGAGTGTCAAGTGGTCATGCCAGGAGTCATCACTTCGATATACTCTGTGGTGTTGTTGGTATTGAAGCCAACAGGTCGAGGTCTTGTATAACATTATTTTCGCTTTAATGGGACACAACCTATTTAACATATACTTCCAGGTCCAATCTGGCATTTCACGTATATTTTTTAGTGCTTCAGGTTGGAACTGCAGTCTCTTGTTATATGATTCTGTGCTATGCCACTTTCATCTCTATGAAACACAGAAAATGGTTATCCAAACTAAGAAAAACTTAGATCATTCATAAATGATCATTAATCAAATGATTTTCACAGAATATTTACACGACTTTCATACAAGATTCACATTTTCTAGAAGGATTCAGTTGGAAAAATACACTGCTCAAAAAAATTAAAGGAACACTTTTTATCAGAGTATAGCATCAAGTCAATTAAACTCCTGGCATATTGATCTGGTCAGTTAAGTAGCAAAGGGGGTTGCTAATCAGTTTCAGCTTCTTTGGTATTAATGAAATTAACAACAGGTGCACTAGATGAGCAACAATGAGACGACCCCCAAAACAGAAATGGATTTACAGGTGGAGGCCACTGACATTTTTTCCCTACTCCTCTTTTCTGGCAGTTTTTCACTAGTTTTGCATTTAGCTAGGGTCAATGTCACTACTGGTAGCATGAGGCGATACCTGGACCCTACAGAGGTTGCACAGGCAGTCCAACTCCTCCAGGTTGGCACATCAATACGTTGCCAGAAGGTTTGCTGTGTCTCCAAACACAGTCTCAAGAGCATTAAGGAGATATCAGGAGACAGGCAGTTACTCTAGGAGAGCTGGACAAGGCCATAGATGGTCCTTAACCCATCAGCAGGACCGGTGTCTGCACCTTGCAAGGAGGGAACAGGATGAGCACTGCCAGAACACTACAAAATTACCTCCAGCAGGCACTGATGTGAATGTCTCTGACCAAACAATCAGAAACAGACTTCATGAGGGTGGCCTGAGGGCCCAACGTCCACTAGTGGGCCCTGTGCTCACTGCCAAGCACCACAGAGCTCGATTGGCATTTGCCATTGAACACCAGAATTGGCAGGTCCGCCACTGGCACCCTGTGCTTTTCACAGATGAGAGCAGGTTCACCCTGAGCACATGTGACAGATTTCAAAGGGAGAAGCCATGGAGAATGTTATGCTGCCTGCAACATTGTTCAGCATTTTGGTGAACCTCTTCAGGCTAGACAATGGCACCCTGACTGCCATTAGGTATCAGGATGAAATCCTTGGACCCATTGTCAGACCCTACACTTGTGCAGTGGGTCCTGGGTTCCTCCTGGTGCATGACAATGCCTGGCCTCATGTGGTGAGAGTATGCAGGTACTTCCTGGAGGATGAAGGAATTGATACCATTGCATAGCCCTTACGCTCACCTGACCTATATCCAATAGAACATCTCTGGGATATCATGTTATGGTCCAGTTGACACCGCTAGGTTGCATCTCAGACTGTTCAGGAGCTCAGTGATGCCCTGGTCCTGATCTAGGAGGAAAATACCTCAGGACACCATCCGTTGTCTCATTAGGAGCATGTTTGGATGTTGTCAGGCATTCATACAAGCACTTGGGGGCCATACAAACTACTGAGTACCATTTTGAGTTTCTGCAATGACATTTCAGCAAAATGGACTAGCCTGCTACATAATTTTTTCACTTTGATTTTTGGGGTGTCTTCGAATTCAGTCCTCTGTATGTTGATAATTTTCATTTCCATCAAACGATGGGGCATCCTCGCGTTCCAAACACATTACCCAGTCCATATCAGTATAGCTATCCAGCGTGATATTTTTCCCCATTGAGATCTGATGTGTTTTCGTAGTGTTCCTTTAATTCTTTTGAGCAGTGTATGTGAATTCTGAGGGAATCTTGTGTGAAAATATTAATACATAGATCCCTTAGCTTGCACTTCTGCAGAATTTTTTTGTTTTTTTGTAAGTTTTGGATAATAGGTTTATCAAATAAGACAACTGTCAAGGCAAGAAGATCAAACACACACGCACAGAAGTGTATATGTATTTGAGATTGTTTTAAACTGGACTTGGAAGATTGCATCATAGTAGTAATAAGTAAATGTCTAAAACTAAATTATCTATTGATGTCATAGGCTGGCGATTGGAAGCTGGAAAGCAATAGCTGGCAAGGCAGTTTGGCAAATATGGAAGAGGTGCTACAGTCATGGTTGGGCCAAGTCAGGAGAGGTACATCTGTTTTTAGGCATTAAGCTTCTGAATTTTTTGAACTGGTAGATGTCAGACTCGGCCAAGTACAATCTGCTATTATGGACAAAAAACGTATTCTGATGCCAACTGAGGCACAGCCAGGCCAATGGTTGAAATCTGGAAAAAAATCTCAGGTTAGATGAAGCGTTATCACAGCTCACCATAGAGTGATATTTATGACATTTTAATACAGCAGTTGTTAAAAAAAGCAAAAAACACCAGGTTGTAAATCTCGGTAGCTTGGTAAAAAATTGAAGATTAAAATGACCTGCAAAGCCGGGTTGTTTATTACGAACAGGTTATAGTTGTGTAGCTGATCAGTACA